GAATCCTGAGAACACCGGGACGGCGGACGATATTTTTTCAAGTATTTGGTTTGAGTGGTGCCTCTGTAAAACCGTATGCTCGAAGCACGCAAATGTGCGAAGCAAATACGTGTGCTTCGAACATGCGTGAGGCGCTTCCGCAGATCAATCTGTCATCGTGTCTTCAGCGAAGGCTGTGTATTTTCTACGAAGTACGAGCAGCGAGATTGTGGTTTTAGATAAACCCAGCCAGGGCGTCACCCCCCACTCCTGCTGCCCGTTTCGATTTGGATGAGCGTCGCATACATGGGTGCGGTCGTGTATCACAACTGCTTGGTGCAGGTTAAAGACCCCAGGTTAGCGGTTGTACTGCACTGGGTAAATCGCTCATCTACAGCCGGAGACAAGTCGCACGTTGAGGGAGATTAAGTTCTATGCTCTATAAGCATACACACGACCCACCGAGCCAGTGCAGTCGCTTTCGACCAACACCAAATGTAATCTTTAAAAAATTACAGTAAAGAGATTGTTTTAAAATAGCCGAGCGTGAAGAAGGTGGGAGGATGGCGCAAATGGCTCGATATATACAGGCGAGACTTTGTCTGGAAGACTGGAACGGGAGCAGCTTATCTTCGGAAGAATGATTGCCTATCTGGGCGCGCGCGAGGTTTGACTTTGCCGAGCATGGGAAAGAAAGAGCGATGAGGGATGATCCTGAGACCACAGTGACTTGCGTGAGTTTGCCTTAGAAAACAGTGAAGAAAAAATTACACGAACGAAATCATTCGACCAAACGTGATGAAATGCGGTGGCTTTACAGGAACATCGTTAGTGAAAACAATTAAGAAAGAAAACGGTACGGCGATGAAATGGTTGTAATATGCCCTGCACTTATCGAGGACGACGTCGAGGACGACGTCCTAAAGAACGACGTCAAGAGTGACGTCTAGGATGACCTCTAGGACGACGTACAGGACGACGGCGAAGACAACCTTTCGGACGACTTCAAGAAGGACGCCAAAGACGGCGTCTGGGACGATGTTGAGGGCGACGACAAGGACGGCATCAAGGACGACCTCTAGGACGACCTCAAGGACGGCATCTAGGTCGTCGTCGTAGAGGACGACATTAAGGACGACGTTGAGGACGTCGTCAATGACGCCAGGTCACCGGTGCTTAGGCGACCGGCACTTTAGCCACAAGCATTAACGTGACCTTGAATATGTGACCCACTTGAGCCACGGGCGTAACGTGACCTTGATTACGTCACCTTGAGCTTGGTTGTGCCTAGATGAGCTCACTCTGTCCCCCGATATTGTTGTGGACGCCGCCATCTCGGTATTTGTGCAGCGCAGACACAACTGCCGATCGTCATGATTCAAAGGTGCGACTACCTCGGCATTATATTCGGTGTTAGGAAGCTCATGTAATATTGTTTTGCTCTGCCGCGAGCTGTTTAAACATTTGTGGAGGACGAAAAAGCGTTTCGTGTGATTTCATGCAGAGGTTCAGATAACTGGCAACCATGATTTTAAGGCACAAGATAGGTAAGTGTCGTTACTCCGAAGCGTGCCTAGTGCCAAGTGCTGAAGCGTGCCTACTTGCGCCTAGTGCTGCCAAATAAGAGCTTCAAAATAACGACACTTACCCATCGAATGGATGAATGGATCGATACTAACGTCTGAACCCTTTAGATCGGGCGGAATACCTTGCGCCACCTAGCCTAAAAACTAAAAAAACCAAAGGTGTGACTCCTCCCTTCGCCCTTCTAAGCCAAAATTTGCTTAACCCCTGCAATTTCGTAACTATCACCAGGCAATGTGGGCTATTACCAGGATGACAAACTAAATACATCACTCCCCGCCTCTTCCCCCCGGCGAGGGAGTCGCCGATTTTCCTCTTGTCAAACCTAGTCGGCGTTTCTTCAGCACCGGGGCTACTGGGGGACAGGTTTGAGACTTTGGGCCGGAGCCACGCGGGAGGGAGTCCCAATATCTCCCTGTCCCGCCTGTCCAGAGCTGTTAGTTAGTTGTACGTTATTCAATTCTCCTGAGATAATTTCGACTAGTCTTCTAATCTCATTTTCGTTATTAAAAATCTTGTGCCTTAAAAATCATGGTTGCCAGTTATCTGAATCTTTATAAAAAATCACAGGAAACGTTTTTCTGTCCTCCACAAATGTTTCAACAGCTCGCGACAAGGCAAAGCAGTATCACACGAGTTTCCTTACACCGAATCTAATGCTGAAGTAGTTGCACTTTTGAATCATGACGATCAGCAGTTGCGTCTCCTCTGCCATAAGCACCAAGATGGGGGCGCCCACAACAATTTCGGGGAACAGAGTGCCGCTACTCGAAGCGTAGTTCATAGTGGCTCTATTTGTGCTTGTGAAGCTAAAAATTACAAAATTAGGGGAAAAGAAAACTTTGATAGCTGCCAACAGCGTAAGAAGCGCATGAGGTTCATGCTTTTTGCCCCCCTGATCGGTTCTTCTGCGTTCTTATCGCCTAATGCCGATAACTTATCGGCTGCGAATCGATAACAAAATTCTTCGAACTCGCCATGTCCTGGGATTCATAGGTTATTCATGAAATAACCTGGAGTCTTCCTCTTCATTAAAAATAACAACAAATATTCAAGCTTATTTGTTTTTTTTTCCTTTTTTTCGCATTCGCTTGTATAACGTGTTGGAAACGATTTGTACCTTCAAAAAGTTACATTCAAAAAAGTATTTGGAGTAAACAACGAACTACCGGAATAAAATTCTAATTAAACGTTACTAATATATTAGAAAAAAATAAAAATAGTCAAGCCGCTATATGTTGAGTGTAGGGTAGCGCCGGACTAGGTATGACTGTGCATGAGTTGAACTGAACGTAAAAATAAACAATAAATTCAATTTGTACTTCTTTTCTCTTCTTCCTCAACAAATTCTTATTTCTCCCGGGTTTCTTCTTCCTTTTCCCGAGGGATTTTGGGGTCAGAGAAGGGAAGGATTGACGCATTGAGGGTGGCATCATTAAATATCGGTTGCTAGTTGAAAGAATTGTACTGTCTGTCTTCGTCCCGACATGTTTTTATTGTTCAATCTTACGCGTTTTTCAAATCGTCTTCACCAACCCGCTTAAGTTCATTATAGTAAGGTCAAGAATCGCAGGAACTTTGTGCGAAGAGTGTCTCGAATTAAAGAGAGTAAGGATGAGACTACATAGATCTGTGTATTCCCTTCCACACTGGAAAATAATGATGACGCAGCTCTACTTGAAAAAACTAATGCACTATTGCTCTGTTTACACACCTCTATTCAGAAGTTTCTATATACGAGACTGCGTCGCGTGTTTATTTGAACACAAAAAATTGGTCCTCCTTTAGATAAGTTCACTCAACGAGAGCGATAGTCAATATTGTGCTCCAGTGGAAATTAATGGCGAATTCCACTGGGCGTTTTGGAGCGCGCCGGGATCAGTTGATCAGATCCGGACTGGAGCACACGATCCGAACGGGGTCGCGCCGCCTACGGATTCCCAGTGGAACATGACCACTGCTCCGGGACCGGCGGATGCCTTACCGTCATTCAACTGCCCGAGAATTCCCTTTCCGCGGCCGCCGCGGTCGTTTCGAAGACGTTTCCGCAATCACGGCGCTAACACGTGTTCGACGCACGAGGGGCAGGAATGGCTCAGGCGCTTCTAGCAAAGATTGCCGGAATGCCCGTAGCGCGGAAAATATCTTCTCTTCTCCTTCCTGGAAAACGAACCGGCTGTCGAGCCAACGGGTAAGCAAGCGGCCATTACGAATTCTTCTGATGTCGAGACAATCTAGGAGCCCAGCCCGCGACGTGCTTCTCCTTCTTCTGAGGTGAGATGGGCGAGATCAGGCGAGATGCCCCACGAAAAAGGAAGTCACGTGTGTGCGCCGAGGGCTGGCCCGGCTGGCTTCCGGTTGAATCCGCCGAAATCGTGGGAGCGACTTTTCTCGGATCCAGATCGAGATCTGGAGCGGGAGCTAATTCAAAACGACCAATTAAACACGTCGGTCTCGATCCCGATCGCCCAATGAAATAGGCTCGCTCCAGAAAAGTCGATCCCGGCGCGCTCAAGAACGACCTGTGAAATTCGCCATAAGTCCCGGGGGGATCGGTGGTCGAGTGGGCTAGCGCACACCAGCTCGGGGCACGTGGAGCGAAAGCTCGCGCTGCAGAACCCAGGATCCTAGGCTGAATCCCCACACCTGCGCGTTTCGATCTAGATGAACATCGTACCGGAGTGCGGTCGTGTATCATTACTGCGTGGTGCACGTTAAAGACCCCAGGCTAGCGGTTGTACTGCTCTGGATAAATTTCTCATCTACAGCGGGGAGACTCGTCGCCCGTTGAGGCAGACTAAGAGGCTGTTTAAACGTACACACAACCCATTTTTTTTCTTTTAAATCTAATTTTAGTGACGTAAAGGCTTCGATCACTTCTGCCACGGAGACCGCACGTTGGAGCACAATATCGATAGCACTTCCCACCGGTTGATTTCGTTCAAATTATTCAAAGCAAGCCAATGATTGTCGTTCTGAGAGTGCATCGCAGTGCGGTATCCACTCAGGGGCCTTTTGAGAGTTGAAGCAAGAATGGTGTTCCACCACGAAACAAACATTTCGCCAGGAAAGATGGAACACGTACACTCAAGGAAATCCTGAATGTGGACTGCTCGGCGATTCACTCGAAATGCCAATCACTGAACTTATAATTCTTTAATCCGTTCAATCAACGGGGAGGGTGATCGGTATCGTGCTCTAATTGTCACGCGGTACCAGATGTAAGAAGGAAGCCATTTTGGCACTGTGTCTACTTCATCGTCGAGCCACGGTTCCTCGTGCCCGATCTCACTGACTAAACTGATAAATACAGTGTACGACGAGAAAGTATGCACTCAGAAGCTTTTAGAAGTCTCCCTTCAAGCCGGGAGAGCCCACGATGATCCATCACGGTGCTTCAGGCGTTCGAGACATCTCTTGCGGCTGCAACGACTCACCACCGGGTCCCGGTAGCCAGGAGTGTACCACAAGGTGCAGGAAGGAAGCTGCGAATCCGTACCAGAGTACCACTGCTCCCAAGATAAGCAGCAGGGCGACGAGCATCGCTTTGATCGGCGTCGGCACTGCCACAGACAAAAATCACAAACGAAATCAAGACTCACGGAGTCCTCCCACGCTCGCGTCACGCCGTTCGCGTAGCTGTTCCGAAAGCGCGAATGATCACCGCCTTGCTCCCTACTCTGACTCCAATATCAGCGATCTTATCCGTCTGGCAACGGCTACCCTTTGTTTTGCCAGCGCAAATAAGGCGCACTGATTTTACCTTTCGAACATCCGCGCAGAAGGTTCCGGGCTAACAAGTTCGCGTGTCCACGCTTATCGGCTTCGGTTTTCGAGTTCGGAGAGATAGCATCGCTCGCATTCGAGGTTGGTCTGCAGTCCGTGGTCCCCGACGGGCGTCCATGCTCAATGAGGTGGCTCGCTCCAAATAAGCGAGTCAAAAGCGTCTCGTCCGCGTTGAGCTGCGTATATGGCGATCTCGGCGGAGGCTCTGAGGAGTTATTGCTCCGATGGCATACTGCCAATCGCACAAATCGAGGGGAATTGAGTGTATGTCAGCGACGAAAGGACGAGCTTTTTTCTTCTCAATAGAACGCGTAGCCAAAAGGATCATTCATACGGCATCATAAAAAGACACGGTGCGCGCTGGGAGACACGATCACAGAAGTATTTGAGCACACGCCCCATGCAGTGTTCGAATTATGCTTTCTTAATTCGAACATGCCTGCGGCAGTTCTTGTATGACGAACGTGATCGATTCAAGAAAGGAACACTTTTCAGACAATGTCTTCAGGCTGTCTTTTGTATGATGAAAATGTAAAAGAAAAAAAAAACACGAAACGAATTTTGTTTTTTTGTTAAGGGCTAGTTTCCCCAGGATATCGTGTCCGTCAGCAAACAATTGATGACACAGAACTTTGGACAGCTATCGCCTACTATGAGGGACGGCGTCAACCAGGCAACCGGCTTGCTGGTTGTCTGGTTGCCACCGTCGCTCATAGATGACGGAAACCTTTCGAGCATTTCCACTCTGTCTTGCCGACTTGCGGCCGGCCATTTCTTCATTCCCACCATAGTACAGCTTCGCTGGTCTTCCTTCTTCATCAGAGTGGAAAGGCTGAAAGTTTTTTCAGCGGTTAAACCCTTATCATGTCCATATCATACGCTATGTGATGTAAGAACTTTCGTTGTCTTTAAATTATTTTTTTACTCTGGTTATTGATGTTTTATTTTTTACATTTCGCTAATTTGCGAGTGCAGTTGGCAGTGTAAATAAATAATAAAAAATTAGGGAAATTAATAATAGGAAAAGTACACTTTGTTAATGAGAGCTAAATAACAAATTACAAATAATACGCTCGTTCTAGTTGCGTTCTAGTTGTGGTAGCGTTGACAAAAAAAAGATAACAAACAATGTAATCAGACAAAACCACATGTTCACGAGCATGTTAGCACACGTTACAAATTCAAAAAAAGGGTAAAAAAATCGAATAACAGGGACGAAACAATAGTTGGTTTCCTCTGTGTCAGTCAATTACGTTGTATAAACTCTTCCGAATATGTAACTCGAGGGCTTGATTGAGCAAAGCAAATAAAGCCGGTGACCATTTACAATACTACCGCGTTTAATTCATTTGTCACACTGCTCGAACCTCGTATGAAAGACATGGTTTGTGTTCGGTGCAGATATGATTACATGTGGACACGCCTGAATCATCTTCGAAGCATGATTACCTTATATAGACCGACACAATGTTTACAAACAAGCACACGTTTGACCACAACAGGTGTGGGCACTGAGCGAGCGCAGAAACCAGATTCGCGTGAGGTGAAGCTTCTGCGCATGCGCCGTGGCGACAACAGCGCCACCGCAGATTCGTGACGTCAGAGACGCGTGTTGATCTATACATATACATATATGCGTCGAAAATGCCTGCAGAGAGTTCTTGAGTGACCAATGTGACTGTCATACGAGGATGGAACACGCCTCAGATGTATTAGCCGGGCCATTGCGGCTTTGGGATGTTTTCGCAGAGCGTTACCGGCGGCTATCCACAGCCACGGTATACGGTTCTCGACGCGCGACGAAAACCCTGCTTCGGAGTCGCTGTGCTTTAGCCCGACGGTCGTGACCATACCGCACCGTATATATATATGCAGGCAGCCTGCGGTACAACGCTATGCTAAAACTGCCCATTAAGCTGTTCCCTCTTGGCTGTCCCGTGGTCTGTATTATTGCAAGAGCCTGGAACTGTGGTGAGACTCTCGAAACTGTTCTTATCCTTTGACGAGTGTTTGACCCACGCGGTATATTTCTTTCTGAAATGGGCTCTAAACTGACCCTATGCGGAGCGCAAGTTCGTCTGCTTCTTGCACAGGAACTGCGATGAGATCAGAAAGCCGAGCTCTGATTGGCTGATCGAAAAAATAGTGGGTGGACCTTAAGGCATCTAGCGTTGGTCTACCCACTATCCTTTCCATCAGAACCAGTCATAGCTCAGCGTCGTTTTGACGTCACCGCAACTCCTGGGCAAGAAGCAGACGACTTGCTCTCCGCGTAGCTTTTCGAAAGTCCGCACCATCGCCTGTCCGCCATTGCCTGATCACAAACTCTGAGCATGACTGTACTGGACACGAGGCTTGCATATGCTTGGACACCAGGCTTGCTTCAATGGTGGCCGCCAATTTTGTTCGACGAACTTTTGAAAGGGGTCTGCTGTGTTCAGCAACTTCTGTATGCGGCACTTCAGAAGAAGTAAATAGTGCCCGTACCATACACCGTGACCCGTACACAGCTTTGATCGGCGCACAAGGTGCTCGAACGTCCGTGCACCGGCTTTGACTGCCACAGAAAGTTGTCCGCGAGTGTCGCGGCAGCTCCCGCGTGCCGTCACCTTGAGTACCAATTAGCCCCGTGCGCGACCGAAAGCGTCGCTGTGGTCGGCCTCCCACGATTGGCCGAACGCTGACTATGACGTCGGAAAGGGGATTTATCATCAACGGAAATAAGAAAGAACTTTAATTTTGACGGTGTTGGCAGTGCTGCTTTAAGAACTCAATGGTTTTAAGCTTCCACCGTGCTATTTACAAACGCCATCGAACTTGTTGTTTGCAAGGTAATGACGTCCCAAGGGGGAACCATAGGAGGGCGCCACCAAAAGATTTCGCCGCTAATAGACCTATTGCCATATTACCCAAGCATAAACGATGCATGCAGGGATTGCTGCTCCACGTGCCGCACGTGCTGGCCTCAGCAGTAGCAACTTTTCTAAAGCAAATACCCAAAACAAATGGCATCTTGCACGCGCGTTCGTCAACGCTTTATTTTGGTTATTTACTTCGAATTTTTGTACGGGGAAGGCGTGCGCGTGTGGCGCGTGGAACACCAATTTCTGCATTCTCCTTGATGCTTGGGTAATATAGCAAATGGCCTATTGAGCAGGCGTTCGAAGAGGCCGCAATTCACGGTGTAACGATCGACAAAAGCTTCACTGTCTCGAAGCGTATCGCCGTGCGCCCTTCGACTCGTGTACAGCGGAAACGGCCGCTGGCACCGCGCGTGGTCACGCGTCAGAGCACGTTTATCGATATCGCGATGACGCGTTATCATCCAATGCGTATACTGCTCGTTGCATCTGTGCTGCTCAAGGACGCTATCGCGACCACGTGCCGAAGATACGTCCGTCCACAAACAAATCGGAAACAAAGTGGAGTTTTCCAACGTGATGTCCTCATGGCATCACGTCATTGCGGACGGCTCGCTTAGTTCTAAGCTTCAATTCAATTATTAGGGGCAGATTATCGCCAATCGTAAAGCTCCGGCAATGTACCTGTGCACGCCGACACAGAATCACCGCTAAATAGTTACTTATCGCCATGTACCAGAACTGCGCCGACATCGGTGGTATGTCCCCCTGGTCTGTGGTATTGAAAAGAAACCCCCTTGAAGCCGCAGAAATACAGCCGAAGTTTGGCAAGAAGCGTACCTCATCGGGAAACCAGGGCTAGCTTGCTAGAAAGAAAGCCTGCCAAGCCCGGAGTGCGCGACATGTTGAGACTTGACTTTCTTTACATGCCACTCATCTCGTGCGTTAGCCTTGACACGGTTCACACCTTTAATCACACCTAGTCACAGGATCCCAGGAAAAGAAGCGCCAAACTCCCCTCCCCATATGGTCGCCACTCTTGTTTATTGAGTGAGTGAGTGAGTGAGTGAGTGAGTGAGTGAGTGAGTGAGTGAGTGAGTGAGTGGGTGGGTGGGAATGTGAATCTGAGTGTGATTGAGTGAGAAAGTAAGAGAGTGAGTGAGTGAGTGAGTGAGTGAGAATGTGAGCGTGAGTGAGTGGAATGAGCGGGAGGGTGAGTGAGTGAGTGAGTGAGTGAGTGAGTGAGTGAGTGAGTGAGTGAGTGAGTGAGTGAGTGAGTGAGTGAGTGTGAGTGAGTGAGTGAGCGAGTGAGTGAGTGAGTGAGTGAGTGAGTGAGTGAGTGAGTGAGTGAGTGAGTGAGTGAGTGAGTGAGTGAGTGAGTGTGTGAGTGAGTGAGTGAGTGTGATTGAGTGAGAAAGTGAGTGAATGTGAGTGAGTGAGTGCATGCAAGTGAGTGAGTGAGTGAGTGAGTGGGAATGTGAGTGAGTATGATATAGTGAGTGAGTGAGTGAGTGACTGAGTGTGCGTGCGTGCGTGCGTGTGAGTGAGTGAGTGAGAAAACATATTTATTAATAGAATGGATACACCACGATCTCTTGATGAATGACAAGTTTTTCTTTGACCTCTTCATTCTTGGTGAACCGATCCCAGTTGCCGGTTGCAGGTTGCTTCATAAAGATATTTCTTGTATACCGAGATTTCGCTGTTCACACACCGGCGAAACAAGCAGAAAAGCTTTTCTGAGAATTCAAATATTTTAGTCCTAATCAGCATGGTTTCAGGCGGCAGCTGTCGATGACAGTAACTCAGCTTGTTGAATCCTTTCATGACTCCAAAAATTCTAAATGAAAAAAAAGGACGGGTAGATCCAATATGCCTCGATCTATCGCAAGCGTTGGACCCTGTCCCGCACACCAAACTTCGTTGCGAAATTACTTAATTTTGGCGTTAATTTGCTTATTGTAAAATAGATTCAGTCTTACCTTAAAAAGGGGGGTGCAACGATTTTAAGATTA